AGCAAAATGCCTCTTGAGGGCATGAAGTGACAAAAACTTTCAACATGTCTCCATTAAGGCCCATTGTAAATTCAGCCTGATCTTTCGTCAGAGCAGCAGCTGCACACCTTTAGTAAATCTGCCAAAAATGGCACATTATTGACCCAAAAGTACACAAACAGCAGACTCAGACGCTCGTCAGGGTCCTGAGATGCTGCACGCGTTGACATTTTACCGATATTAGCTACAGTTTTTAAACTATAGTTAGAAATGTAAGAGGTTTATCTCTCATTCAGAACAATGGAAAGGCTCTCCTTTCACAGCACATCTCCATGGAAAACTTTGATCTCTGGGCTCACGTACACAGGTGTTTGATAATGTCGTCACCATGGTAACCTTTGATCTCTGGGCATACACACAGAGGTGTTTGATAACATTCATTCACTACTACTTACATTTAATATCTAACTCCTTCAGCCTATTTTCAGCTACAGAAACCATTCAACTATTAAATTATTCAGCTATTTCAGGACATTGAGGCTATACATTTTGTTGTTTATACCTTTTTTAAACCTTTTCTTTTAAATATTAAGCTTCTTCACTATTCTTCCTACTCTTCCAGTTTAACATTTCACTTTCAAGTTTTCAACAAAGTCATTGCAATGCATTTGAGCTGTAACAATTTTGATTAAAATCATTTCACTTTTCTGCGCTACGTTCAGCAACACACTTACTTGATTTGTATAGCTAAAAGCAGCTACAGAGACCATTCAACTAATAAAATATTCAGCTTTTTCTGCATTTTCAGCTAAATTCAGCAACAAATGTAGACAGTTTACAGCATTCGCACGCATTTTCAGCAGGAAATGCATTTTCTAGTTCTGTATAGCTTCCAACCTGATCCTGATCAGTGGATCAGCTGGTGAACTTGTTGCCGTCATTACTTGGTTCCCTTTGTATTTGCGCCTGGCTTCAGAACTCAAGATCCAGTCTTAAAATGTTATACTGGCAACCTGCCAGGTGAGAGACACAAAACTCTGGAGATGACTCCCTGGATGCTGCGTTAGAAATATGCATTTTTGGGAAATGAGTGCATTAAGATATAGAGGACATGAGAGAAAGGCAGGAAGAAAGGTGAAAGTACCCTCGACAGTTTATGCTTAGAGCAGCATTACATTACATTACATGTTACTTATTAGACGCTTTTATCCAAAGCGACTTACATACTCAATACTGTGGACAATCTCCACAGGAGCAATTTGGAGTGAAGTGTCTTGCCCAGGGACACAACGACATGTTGACTGCAGTGGGGTTTGAACACCAAGGCTCTATCCACTGCGCCACACACCTCCCAGCATAAATAAATGGAGTCGGTTCAAAGCAAGCCTAGCCAGCCCTAACTATAGGCTTCAAGCTTTAAAGAGGTCAGCTTAGGCTCTCCATTTCTGGAGCTCACTTGTTCCAAACAAGATGCACCAAGACAGAAAATGAACCATTCATGCAGATTTAAAGACGCGCCTTAAAAAAATAAGTAAAAGGCTACGTGCTCCTCTTCCTCCCCTCCTCCCTCCTGTGTGTCGGTGTAATTAAATCTCCCTCTGTGGGACGATCGTCCCCTGGAACTCTCCTCCGTTTTCAGTTCAAAGCGAGTGACGGGAGGCACAGATACCGAGGGATTAAAACTGCAGACTGCTGCCACGCAATTATCTCACCGCCTCCCACCACGCCAAACACACACAGAGCATTAACACCTCCCCCTCTCTTCCTCACAGCACCTGTCCATCAGCACATCCGTCTCCTCACACAGCGTCCCCATCCATATTCATACCGAAACACACTTGAGTCTTTAGTGGCTGTCAGACCCTCCAACTCATTACTCACTGACTGCATGACAAAAGACAAGTGTGTGTAGAAGCTGCTGTAAGTATTCTGTGTGACACTAGTTTTACAGAAGGGTACATCTGTGGTCGGCCATATGGAAATGATCACAATGGTATCTTTAAAAAGATATACTCAAATAATCACACTTTTTAGATATAAGGAAATTAAGACTGATGTTTTAGGTTAAGGATGCCCTATTATGCTGTTTCCTGTAGTGTGTGTTCTATAGGTTTTTGTGCATGTAAATGGACTGCAAAGGCAAAAATCCCTGTGTTACCTCCAAAGGAAGTTTCTTCCCACACACTCCCCCCCCCCCCCCCCCCCCCTCTTCCTGAAAAGCCTCCATTGGACTCCTTTGTTAACTTCCGTAATATAGTGACATCATTATGTAACGGTTGCGCTTCAATTGGCTGGCTTCTCACTACATTGTATGTGATAGTCTAAGGGGCGGTACATTTCTAAGCTGTTGATCAATCACAACAGAGTCGGCCAGCTGACCAATCAGTGCAGACTGGGCTCTGGCCAAACTGCAAAAATATGTCTTCAGTGTTTTACAAAACAAAGAAAAGACATTAACTGACTGATTGGGAAAGCCCTTTTTTATTAAGCCTTTTATTTTTGTTTATCTCTTTTTGGAGTCACATTATAATAAGGACAGCTTTTTGCTCAGGGCTGCCTGTATATCTGTTATGATTTGTAAATATGAAGGTGTTGTGTGCGGTTAAATAACATTAGCTGCTGCAGCTGCAACATCAACGTGTCATGCATCTGTAAAAATAATCACAAAGGATAGTCAAAGACCTGTAGGGAAAAATATCAAAAATAAGCTTTGAAAGGAAGGTCTGATGTGCATTAACGACAGCAGGAACGTCTGGAACATCTGACCCCTCAGCATTGCTCTGAAAGCAAAAATAAAGTTTACCGGGTGCAGTATGCCAGTGATATTTTTCTGGAGACGACACGAATATTTCAGGGTAGCAGGGTTAGCTTTCCTTTTAATACCATCCTTATGTTGGTTCTTCTCAAGTGTTTACAGAGGAGTGTAAAGCAAATCTTGAACGCACACCTGCCAATGTTTCCATACAGCTCAAGGGAATAACAGCATTTGTTATGGAGACTGCCAGAACTTTTGTTCTAACAAGATGTCACCGAAGTGTCACGGCAGAGAGGAGGTGTGTGTGGAGGTGTGTGAAGTATCCTCTCATCAGCTGCATATTAACCGTGAGGGCGCTCTGTTTTATTACATTTAACTCATATTTCATTGATCATTGATGGAGGTCGTGCACAAGAGCTCAGCCTGTATTTTAGTGTCGATATTATCTTTGCTCTTAAATTCAGTGTTGGAGGTTTTTCAGGACGCTTCATTAAAACCTTCTTTTGCATCATAGGATTCAAATAACCATACTAAAGGTTTTGCAACCTTTGTACTGCAATCTAATAGTAGCTTGTTATTTAGCAATGGTGATAAACTGTTTGTAAGAAATAAGATTATATATTTTTTAAACTTTTATTACTTACTTTAGAATTTTAGAATACTTTTTCTGCAGCGTTTAAATCTATCTGCAGAATCAGGAAACTTGTTTACAGTTAGTGACCATTAAGTCTGCATTCATTTGTGTCATTATCACATTGTAACCGTGTCAATATTAGGGACAGATTGTATAAGTGAAAAGACTCACATTAATATTTACCAATTTGTATTGTACATGAACAAGAAACTGTGTAACTAAACATCACAAATCTATAGCGAAGCAATTCAATATTAAAGAGGCACATGTTATGCTTATTGGGTTTTTCCTTTAGTGTGTTTATATGTAGGAGGCGTGTGGCGCAGTGGGTTGTGCGTAGGTGTTCGGATCAGGGGGTCACAGGTTCAAACCCCACGGCAGTCAGCATGTCGTTGTGTCCCTGGGCAAGACACTTCACCCCTAATTGCTCCTGTGGGGATTGCCCACAGTATTGAGTATGTAAGTCGCTTTGGATAAAAGCGTCTAACAAGTATCATGTAATGTAATGTAATGTAATGTAATCTAATATGTTTTGTGCATGCTGCAAAGGTTAAAATCCAAAAGTTCCCTTTTCAGAGGGAGTTTCAACCACACACTCCCCCCTGGACTGGGCTCTGGTTTCAGACAGAGGGTGAAAAGAGGTGCTGCATCACAGGCAGTATGGGAAAAATAAAGACCTTTCTGAACATTAAAGCATGTAAACATTTCACAGTTGAGGAACAAAATACAAATATGAATATGTCCTTTTTAAAATGTTATCCTGCATGTCTCTTTTTACCTTGACAGGCATTACTGGCAATTTTAGTAACAAAATATCTCTGCTGCTACACTGACGTGATCTTGAGACTTGAGGATTTATCTTATTTTTCTGCTTGACAAAAATAAAGAAATCTGCCCATTTTACACCTAAATATCATTGGGTTAAAATATATTATTTTCTGTAAAAATGCTTGTATATTGGTATCCTGGAGAAACTGATGTTTATTGGTTTCTCATGAATCAGATTTATTCAACCTGCTTTTAACAATTCAGTTTGAAAGAACTGCAAACCTCAAGAACATTTCAAGTTTGCACATTGAGTTTCAAACAGAACAGAAGTGAATGGAAATCAACGGTCGCCTTGAACAGTAGAAAAATACATCCTGATAAAATGGCAGCTTAAAATTCTAAACACATCAGTATCCCTCTTTGAAAAAAAGAAATGGTCAGTAAATATTGCTTCGTGCAACATGCTAGAATATCACTCTGAGGAGACTGTTTGGGTCGAAATTGAACTTGAAACATTATTGATTATCATTATCCTTTAAATTCTTGCATGCAGTTGTTGAGTTGATTTAAAAGAATCATACATTTGATGCCTAAAAACACCTTTACGTGTATGTACTATAGCTTCTGCAGATTCCTCCGTTTCCTTGGCTTTTTTGCTACCAATCATTTAATAGTACAAATCTGAACATGAATTACGGGAGGAACTTTGGGTCAACTTGGTAATGTCATTAATTTGTGTTCAATTTCCAGATTAAGGTTTCCAAATGTTCTTCATAGTTTCTGCTGTTGTGTGTTCTAATTACATTTTAGGGTCATATTAACCAAAATGTTTGGAAGATAACCCATGCATCTCTCTTCCTTTAGTCCTGGACTGGAGGATGACGGATCCTAACCACCCCATGAACGCTCTCATGCGTCTCAACCAGATCCACCCGGGCCTGCAGTACCGCCTGCTCTCTCAGTCCGGCCCAGTGCATGCCCCGGTCTTCACCATGTCTGTGGACATCCAGGGGACCACCTACCAGGCCTCCGGCAACTCCAAGAGGACGGCCAAGCTCCAAGTGGCCCTCAAGGTATTCTGCACGTTCAACACATGTTTTATAATGTGCAGGAATGAAATATACTTTACTAATAACGTGAAATGACATCAATCAAACTCACAAGCAGAGAGCTAAATGTAATACTTTAAGTTTTGTTTGTTTGTTCTCCAAGATCTTTCTGGAGCCGTTTCCCCACCATTAAAAATGTATTAGAATGATGTGTAGCTCCTCCATCTCTTTTGTGCATTGCATTGTGGGAAGATAATGTCCATGAGCTCAAGTGTCATAGTTCATAGCATTCAGACTTTTAAATGTAGTCCAACACATTGGGTTAAACAAATATTTTTGTACAGTCATGATCCCCAGAGGATGATTCCAGCTGTTCATTTAGCTCCACCATGGTGTTAACGTTTGTGGTTTTGAGTAAAATATTTCAACAGCTACATACTTGACATTAGATACAATTTGAAGATCCTTAAACTCTCACCCAGCAGCATTGTTAGGTCTCTATAGAGTGGTGTGCAGAAACGAGTCCCAAAACCAGGAAATAACTTAGCATTTTCCCACTACGGGTTCTCTCGTCTAGAAGTCTACAGTTTTTTTAACGTGTTGATGGATAGAAGCCTGAAACAAGCTCTTTTGACAACACAAGCTCAAGAAATTCTCACGTTTTCTGCTCAATATAAAATATGTCAGTTAATACCACACTCTTGAATATCTGAAGGTTTTATATATCATAAAAACGGCGGTTGCTAACAAGTGACTGAAAGTAACTACAAAAGGTCATCATGCTGACATCAGTTCGCCTTTAACTTAGCGGCAGTGATGCGTGGCAGTGATGCGCGGCAGTGATGCGCGGCAGTGATGCGCGGCAGTGATGCGCGGCCATGCCACCGTGATGTAGTTCTTTATAGCCTAGCTTTAGCTTTTTACTTCTGGCAATTGCATTTATGCTTCAAAAGTTAAAAAGTGGTGTCAATATGTGGAGATTATCCTGGTGTCATTGATGTGTGTTGGCCACAGAGCTTATTTTTATTTTGGGAAAATCCCATTGGATTTGGTCGAGGGAACCCTTGCGATGCTAACTTGGTCGAGGGAACCCTTGCGATGCTAACTTGGTCGAGGGAACCCTTGCGATGCTAACTTGGTCGAGGGAACCCTTGCGATGCTAACTTGGTCGAGGGAACACTTGCGATGCTAACTTCCGGGTTGGCCTACAATAATACCACATCACTGCACCACTCTATTTCAGTTTGTAAAAAAGGTATCCGCTAAACATCTCTAAAGCTAATGACATTCCCATTAACCTTATCTGTAATTTGTGTAAACTGCTAAAATGTGGATGTTAATACACCAAAATAAGATGGTTAGTATTATCTTGAAATGTAGCTCATTATCAATGGACTTAAGTAAAGCTGCAGAGCTTTAACATATCTGTAAACTTGAGTAATATTCCATCCACTGCATTCAAGGCAGTGCACAAGGGAAATGAAAGAGTGGCTCATAAATGTAAAAAAAAACAAATTCAGTTCCAATTTCTAAAACAGTATACTTAGAAACCCACAATTATGTTTATGTCAAACAGAACATATTGCATTATTTTGTATTTTGTTTTTAAGTACAGTGTATTGATTGCTTTTATGTCAACAACTGTTTACGACAATGATTAGGAAGTACATCATATTCTGTATACAGCAGGAATGTGTGTGAAAGAACTCATTTGGTCCTGCTAAAGCATGATGGGAGCTGTAATGTAGCTAAATGCTATAGAGCCCCTAAGGTATGGCATGTAGGCAATGATGATGAAGATGGCCAGTGTCAGTGTTCAGCGCCTTGCTCAAGGGCTGTTCATAGACACTGGATGTGTATGTGTTGGGACATTAAGGAACCAGTTATCCTATAATTAGATGACTGTCTAATGCAGTAGAGACAGACTATTTACTGGAGGTGATGAATAATTAGCGCCGTGTTTCCTCCTCAGGCGCTGCAGGCTCTGGGCTTTGTGCTCGGCGGCGACGGAGACGTGGACTCGCTGAGCGCCGACGAGAAGTCAGATGGCGAAGGCAAGATCGACAGGATGTCCACCACCTCCAGCTCCACCTCCATCACCTCCTCCACAGACACACAGGAGGTGGGGAGCACACACACACACACACACACACACACACACACACACACACACACACACACACACACACACACACACACACACACACACACACACACACACACACACACACACACACACACACACACACACACACACACACACACACAGTAGGATTATTAACAAGTACACATGGGTATTAGGGCGCTTCACAGACAGACAGTTTCACCAACTACTGATGTGATATAGGGTTGCAAGATTTAGAAGAAAAAAAACGTAGTGCTATTATTTAGACTAATATTGCATTAGGATTCTTTTTACCAATACTAGATACTGCAATAATCTCATTAAAAATAAAATAATAATAGTTTGATTTTCTTTTTGGGAGGATCTGTGCTGTTGTGGCGATTTAGCACTCACAACAGGAAAGAATGAAACGGAGAGGAATCAAATAAAACACAAACACAGATATAGTTGATCAATTATTATCAATAATAACGAGGAAAACATTACCTCTGCTCTCAAGCAGTCCTACAGCAATGCTCCCACCCAGAGACATATATAGGACTTCTACAATGACGTACCCTCATTTCCGTTACATTAACTAACACACAACATCACATGTTTTTCCCTCTGAATGCCACACTTATATATGTTGCAGATGTCGAAAGTTCATCTAGCTCATGACATCTTTAGGAGTAATAAACTAACAAAGGTTAACTGTTTTTATAACCTGAGGCCTTCTCTGAACTTCCTCTAACCTCGGTGTCAGCTCACTTAAAATGAATACATCTATTGATAATTCAAAACGACCATTGTCTCTCTAACTCTGTGTGACCTAACTCAGTAACACAGATGATACCATGTGATCTTAATGAATAAGCCAGAAATACGCTGTAATAAGGATTCTGCCATAACAGTACCTAACAAGGAATCTTCGTTAAGTCTATACAATATTTGTTGTAGGTCGTGACTGCAGCTGCACAATACTTCATCCAGATATTTTGCCTTTACTTACTATTGTATATACTGCTACTTGGTTATTTCATTAGTCCAATTTGCAACTTAGATTAAATGTGCAGCCCTGTCATCAGTGATGTTTATTACAAATTCTTAACTCTTAAGTTTGAAGTGTCATCTTGCCAAACAAAATCTGCAGTCACCTGCCTCTCTTTCAGCATTTGTTTTAGTTTCTTCTTCCATCTGTTGTTCTTATAGAGGTAGAGCAATAATGGTACATGTCAGCTGTCAAGGCATACCCAATATTTCCAACTTCAAGGCTAATGAGGGATCTGAGTGTGCTGAAACTTTCAAATACACAGGCATTTTTAGAATGTGTCAAAATAACATTTGTATGGCATGTGAAAAAGCTGCATGGTTTTTGCTAGCACTGCACAATTAATTATAAGTTTTATCTCATTTAGTATCTCTGCTACTATTATTCATATACTTTGTCCACAAGGGATCACTGAAACTGAAAACACACTGCAAAAGTCCCAAAATGTATACTTATACAAATACTTGCACACAATATATCTAAATAATTTTTGATATTATTTGTATTGTTTTGTCAGTTATTCTCTGTCAGATAGACAGAGACAGATTTTAACTGTAGTTAAAAACATTTAGGAATATCTAACAGATGTTTGTGCTGACCCTCTTTTCTGCCTCCGTCCGCCTGCAGTCCAGAGCTCCAGGTCCCATCCTGACGGCGGGGGGGAAAAACCCTGTGATGGAGCTGAACGAGAAACGGCGAGGGTTAAAATACGAGCTGATATCAGAGAGTGGCAGCAGCTACGACAAACGCTTCATCATAGAGGTACACACACACAACCACAAACCCTAATTGATTTCCTGTCTCCCTTTCACAAGGTCTTATTAGGAATTGATGAGGGAGGAAGCGTGTTTGATGTTTGGCGCTTCCTGCATCAAAACTTCACATGGCAGGAAAGAACAGCTTAACATAAAAACAATTTTATCCTGTGAAATCAATCTGAATTACAGTGCAGATAGTTTCTACAAGACTAAAGTTATTCTAAATGTCTTGATATTATTCCGCACCAGGATCTTGTTTCCTTTGTTATTATTTTTACACCTGTATAAATAAAGGCTAAAAAAAATTAAAAAAAATTATATATAATTGTTATTATTTCTTATGATGAATATGTGCCAACCTGATAAATAATTTGCATACAAATAATTTGCATACAAATAGTTATCCGTTTGTTTAAAAGAACCAAAAGAAGAACTGTGAGGTGAGCATGACTAGTGACACCCACAGTAATGTAACGGATGAGTCATCAACAGATACTCATTGCATTACATGTTAATGCACTAAACCATGTTTGTAAAGCTAGAACATTTCAAGTATATCATTTTTAATTTAAATTATTTTTTCAGAGTTACAGAAACGTCAGTTGTAAAGCGGTTCAGAATATGACATTGTATTGTTAACTACTTTCTGAGTAGGGGCGAGGAAGTGAAAATAAGTGAGTTTGTGTAATAAGTGAGAAGATTTCTTTCTGTGTATGTACAGTATATCCTAGTCACCGGGGAGTACAGATGTCACGATTGCGTTTAAGCATGTTATGTCTATAATTTCTATTCTATATTGCTTTGAAAACATTTCCTTTAAAGGTGGGGTAGGTAAGTTTGAGAAACCGGCTCGAGATACACTTTTTGTTATATTCCATGGAATGCTCTTAACATCCCGATATCAATGAATATCTTAAGTGCTTTGACAAAAAATCCATTAAAAAATGTCATCTGTGGAAGCCGTAATACTGTAAAAAGTACGACCAATCATTTTAGCCGGCCCGGCTAAAATAACTGGATGGCCTACCTGCCTGTCAGCCTTCCATCTGTGCACAAACTTATCTCGTGCCCTCATTGGTCATGTGCGCGTTCGTGTGTGTTGGAGGAGGGGCTCTATAAGGAAGTGGCAGATTTTCTCCGATTGTGTATTTTCAAATTCTAGCGATCTCGAGCCGGTTTCTCAAACTTACCTACCCTACCTTTAAGCAACTGTAATTATTCAAGTTTTCTAGCAAATAACAACATTTTACAAGATAACATTGAAACACATTATTACCCAAAGTATAATTTTGTTGCTAAATGGAACCTCTGTTTACGTTATCAAAAGATAACAATAACTAGCTTTCATCTAAATGGAACCTCTGTTAACATTATCAAAAGCTAACAGCTAACGTTAGCAAATGCTAACAATAACTAGCTTTCATCAAAATGGAACCTCTATTAACGTTATCAGAAGCTAACAGCTAACGTTAGCAAATGCTTACTAAAACTAGCTTTCATCCTGCCTATTTTAACACAGATTTGACCAGTGGTTCTCAAATGGGGGTACGCGGACCCCTTGGGGTACGTGGACCCCTAGGGGTACGTTGGAGTACTGCAGGGGGTACTTGAGATTTATTTTATGTTAATGAAAAAAATAAATAATAATAAATAGGTAAATATACCAATTTTAGGAAAAGTAACGAAGTTTGAGCAGTGTGGGTTTTATATTAATAGACTAGAGTTACACATATTTCAAAACACGAAGTGTAATAACTGCAGTTGCCTCCCTGTCAGAATGACAAAGATCCTCAGTGAAGCACAAGCCCATGTTTCTCACTAAATTGTAAGTACAACTTATTAAAAAGATCAGTTCAATGCAACTAATGCCGTCTTAGTGTTATTGCATGATATTAAAATTGGTTTCAAATCAAATCAAGTTTTATTTATATAGCACATTTTTTAAAACGATTTTTGGTCGAGCCAAAGTGCTGTACATACAGTAAAAAATACTTTACAATAAAGACACTTTACAACAAATGCAACAGCACAGTTTGTACAGAATATCAGTATGAGAAAAACGACACCCTCTGTCCTTAGACCCTCACATCGAGGGTCAACATACAAGGAAACACTTCCAGAGAAAAACCCCACAGTTTAAAGGGAAAATGGGAGAAACCTCAGGGAGAGCAACAGAGGAGGGATCCCTCTCCCAGGACGGACAGACGTGCAATAGATGCCGTGTGTACATTGAAAAGATAATACATTTTACAGCGTAGGTAGACCAAATGTTTGGAAATGCATGTGTCTATAATAAGAAGATGAATCCACGAGGATGTCAAGAACAATCCTGTGGGAGCCATCAGGGAAGTAGTATGATGAGAGTCAGGCAGGACCACAGTGACAGGTTCAGCCACGACTCGAAGTCCAGGACTCAAATCCAGAACTCAGGATAGAGGATCCAGGACACAGGACCACAGCAACAGGATCAGCCACGACTCAGGATCCCGGCGTAGATATAGACACAAAAAATGTGTTTAGGTAAGAAGTAGGGAACAGAGGTGGAGAGGCACAACGTATCTACGTACATGCACTCCCTTAGGATAGGTTGAGGGAAAAGGGTAGCAAGTAAGAAGTAAGAAACAGAGGTGGAGAGGCACACGCAGGGAGCAAGATCCCCACTGGAGCCTTAATTGGAATTGGTGAGAGGTAAGGAGGTACGCTGTGAATACGGTCTAAACACTCCCCGGCCGGAAAAAGCCTCTCTGCAACCTGTTACCCTCTAATAGAACCTCGAGAGGTCAGAGAGGGGAAAGGTTTTGGATAAAGAGAAAATAGAATGAATAGATTACAGGAGTAGAGAGTATGAGAAGTAGAGAGAGAATAGATTTAGAAGAATGAGAAGTAGTAATAACCTTAGTTTTAAATATAAGATCCAAGCTTTTAGGATTTAAGTGAAAGAGCAAGAACCAAAATATAGGTGAAGAGGCACAGCGTGTCTACGTCAATGCACTCTTATTCGATTATTTTATCAACTATAAGCTTTATCAAAAGGAAGGTCTTAAGCGTACTCTTAAAAACGGATAGGCTGTCGGCCGCCCGAACACAAACTGGAAGCTGATTCCACAAAAGTGGAGCTTGATAAGAAAAGGCTAGAAGGCCAGAGAGAAGAAGTGAGTTTTAAGTGTTGTTTTAAAAAACCCTAGGGTCTGGGCCGACCTCACATGGAAGGGCAAAGTGTTTCAGAGCATAGGGCCAGCCGCTGCGAATGCTCGGTGCCCTCGGGTTTTGAGCCTGGTCTTGGGCACTATCAGCCTCTGTGAGGGCCTAAGATATTCCAAAAAATAATATTTAAAAACATTAAAAAAAAAAAAAAAAAATTTTAAATATATATTTTTTTAATATTATTTTTGTTATATTTTTCATTAGTTTTACCGAAAAAAAACTTGATTTAATAAAATAACATTTCCAAAGAAATAAATCCTTCGAATCTGCCTGTTCAGTCTCTGTTTGAATGTCAGTTACTATAGCGGGCCTCTCTGCGATTCACAGAGGGCCCGCTATAGTAACTGAACGAGAGAGTAATGTCAAATGACAGTACAATTGACCAATCATATCTTCCCTCTAAATGGGTGGGTTTTATTATCGCGGACTTTATGACGAGTTCCGCCCGCTGTGAAACTTTTCTTGTTTCCATAGCAACAACAACTTCCTGTCAACAGCGTGAACTTGCCTTCAAAATAAAAGCATGCCAAATTACACTTAAGACATACAACTGCAATGAAAGTAACAAACACAATGCAATATCATTTTCAATGTCAAAGAACACAAATGGGGTTCCCAGGTGTTGTTTTGTGTGGTAGAGGGTCGCTGTCATTGATGCGTTTTGCACCCTGGGCCGTTGTTTTGATATTCCGCTGAAGTATACGCTGTGACGTAATAACGTCTTTTTTTCGAAGGAAGGGGTGGGGGTCAGAGGGCCTAGGTATAAAGCTCACGGCTCGCCACTGCCATTGGGATAAACGCGCTGAAGTTTCAAAAACGTTGCAAATATAAAATACACAAATATGCCAAAACAAATAGAAAACGCTGCAAGAAGCTCAGAACACAATGGAAACAGAGGAATAAAAGGTGATGCACACAGCTGGGAGCGGAGCGCTTGTTCACGAGATGTAAAGGTTTCTGTGCAGAAATATGCCAAGACATTTTACAAAACCTAAAGAAAATTGGGAAGACATGATCGAATGAAAGAATTAATAAGATGAAGCTGAACATTTTCCGATATCAGACAGAATTGTCAACCTAATTTCTATTTTCAGACTGACTTTGCCTACACTGTAACATATTAGGCTTGTTTGAGACGAGCTGCGGCTCGCCTCGAAAGTAGACGAGAATAGCCGATCGCAGCCGGGGGAGGTCTCAAAAAGCTCGCCTGAAGTCGGACAGCTCGGAGTCGGCTTCTTCTTCTTCTTCTTCTTCTCTCGGTTTTTTGGCGGATTTCAAACAACTTTAAGGTGCATACTGCCACCTCCGGAGTCGGCTTGACTTGTTTTGCATTTATAAATGCACACGGCATCTATTGCACGTCTGTCCGTCCTGGGAGAGGGATCCCTCCTCTGTTGCTCTCCCTGAGGTTTCTCCCATTTCCCCTTTAAACTGTGGGTTTTTCTCTGGAAGTGTTTCCTTGTATGATGTGAAACGTAAGGACAGAGGGTGTCGTATTGTCATACTGATATTCTGTACAAACTGTGAAGTCCACTGAGACAAATGTAACATTTGTGATATTGGGCTATATAAATAAACATTGATTGATTGATTGATAAAGAATGGACAAATGTGTTTAATCGTTAATGTCAGATATGTACTAAGTAAATACATTTGTTCCTGCTCAAGATTAGATTCAACTTTATTGTTATTGCACAGATTACAGGTACTGAGACAACGAAATGCAGTTTAGCTTCTAACCAGGAGTGCATAAAGCAGTAAAGTGAAAAGTAATGTACACAATCTACAGAATAAAATATAGAATGAATTGAATGATGAAAAAACAGTGAGGGGTATGAATACACTATATACACAGTAGCCTAGCCTAGTATGAACAGTGTGTTGTATGAATATGCTAAGATAAAGTATGACAACGGTAAGCAGTGCAAGTATAGTATAAAATATATAGATATTAATGTCATGATGATAAACATTGTGGAACAATGATGAAAAATGTGAATGGAAGTGGCCACGTAAAACGGACACAAAACAACAACACACTTTTGCCGAGCCAATGGAGAGTTTCATCTCCAGCACGGGGTAAAACCCACCAATGAGCGCTCAGCTCGAGATACCAGCGAGTCGTTTCCCATCAAGCATTTCGCTTCCGCAGCCCGGGGAGAGAAACTGCGCCGCCTCGCCGCGCCTCGCTCTCAAGTCTGCGGGCGTCTTTGTCCCGCGAGATTTCAACGTCTCATGTAGGCGAGCCTCCAGAGCAAGTCGGACAAAATGACTAACCATCATGCAACGCACGAGCAAGACGTTGATCGCAATTGCGCAGGTCTGCGCAGGTCTCGCTTGTCTCAAACAAGCCTATTGTAAGGGGCTGAGAGGCAGGGTAGTGGGAGGCACCTACATTCCCAACAGCAGTATTGGGAGCAGATGTGGAAACCCACACACCTGGTGCTAATCACTCCCTCAAGGGAGACAAAGCACAAAGAGTTGGTCAGTTGTGTGTGGCAGGAGGCTCCCAGTGTAAGAAAACGTTAGCCTTTGTTCTTTGGAAGGCATTTTTTAGTTTGATAGCAATAAAGCCTTTTTGTGGATTTGAACACTGCCTCTGTCGTGATTGCTGCACTACCACTTTCCTCTTTATCTGCCCAGTCCGGTTACACTGGTGGAGAATGCGGGCATAAGGACTCTAGTAGTGATGGGCAAATGAAGCTTTGAATGAAGCATCGAACCACTTGGACAATTGTGTCGGAAATAGGTTCATTTCTCGAAGCTTCAGTTACAGCGACCTCTCCTGGCGAAGTGAAAGGCTGCAGTGGGTTTAACGTATCTTTGCCTTGAAAAATATTCGATGCACACACACACTAAGACTGAATATCATGTTCTATTTGCAATTAAAGATTGATAATTGTGTGTATTGGGTTATTGAGAAGAGAGTGCTGGGAAATGTGGCATTGGTTGAGTGTGCTTGTGTAATTATGGCAGGGGGTGATTATGTGGGATGGGGAACACTCAAAGATCTTTATTGAGGTAATTATTCTTTTTATTTTGTATTTTTCTAAAGGCATTTTTTTGGCCGGGGAGGGCCTTTTATCAGTTATAGTATTAAAGTTGAAAAGCGGGCAATGATTAAAAGTTCATCCATTCCAGGATTTGAACCAGTTGCGCAGAGGACGTCGCCGCATGCGGGCTGCCGGCTCTATCCACTGGGCTATCTATTCTTTAAACTACTGAACTCTTTTTTAATACTCATAATTGTCTTTTTGTTCACAACTTCTCCACATTTTGAAGTGTTTCCCGAGCCAGAACGACCTATCTTTCTTCCTGGCTTGCTCTATAATGATCCAATACAAATGCAATACCAACAACAACGCAAACTACTACAACAAGCCACACATTGCGCATTGTTTAGAGCGGTTATAAAGTGTTGAAGCGCTCAAATTCGAAACTGTTTCAACTTGTCACCTGTCAGAATCGAGACGAGGGTTGATTCATTCAGGAAATGAAGCAGTTGCTGCTTCGGACATCATTATGTCACGTGATTTGAAGCAAGCTTCGAACCACTGCTTCTATGGAATAGGGTCCAGGGTTTGAAGCACGTATCGAAGCTTCAGTGTCAAACTGCCATCACTAGACTCTAGTGGTGGTGTTGCAGTCACAAAAAAAAAGATGGAGGATGTACTAAGAGAGTTGGTGCACATTTCTTCTGAGCAGCAGACTCTGCAACGGGAGATGATACAGGAGTAGCGGAAACAGAATGCGCTTCTCCATGTGGAGGTCCAAAAATGCCTAGCAGCAGCCTCTCCTATCCAGAGGGGAGCAACCGTGCAGCCTAACCCAGGTCGATTCATCCCCAAAATGACAGAGAGTGATGAAATAGAGGCCTACTTAACAGCCTTTGAGTGCACATCTGAAAGAGAGGGCTGGCCAAGGGACTCCTGGGCTGATCTGGTTGGACCGTTCCTCCTGGGCCCGGCACAGCAAGCTTACTTCGACCTCCCTCCTGACCAAGCAAAGGATTACGTCGTCTTGAAGAGGGAAATCCTGGCGAGGTATGGCTACAGCTTAGCAGCAAGAGCCCAGCGGTTCCATGACTGGAAATACAAGCCAGAGTTGTCAGCCAGGGCCCAGATGTATGACCTAGCCCGGGTAACCAGAGCCTGGCTGACATGCAACCTCGAAAAGTTAAGTGTTTTAGAGAGGATAATGATGGACAAATACATTCGGTCTCTGCCCTATGAGATCAAGAAAATGACAAGCCAGCAGAATCCAGCCAGTCTGGATGAGTTGGTTAACCTAGTGGAGAGCCACATGGTCACAGCGGACCTGCTTAAGTCCACACGACCAGATACCAAGTGGGGCCGGAAAGGCAGTGGGGAAGCATCAAGGACTAGACGGGCACGAGAACCGCCACGGGAACCAGAAGAGGTAAAGCAACGACAGCCCTACCTGCCAGAGGGCCAACCATGTTGCTACCGGTGTGGGGAGACAGGCCACATTTCCCGGGACTGCCCAGGGAAGGAAGAACTAATGCCGACCGCCAACTCATCTGGTGCAAGGCCCTGCCACGTTCTTGACTCCTACTGGGTACAGGAAAGCTAATTTACCCCTTTTATAAGTGAAGTTATAGTCATTTGTTCTGGGAATATCATTTTCGAGCCTGAGACCTGGAAAACAGGCTCGGGGCTTAACAGGTTAACAATCACATAAGATAAAGATAAAAGAGAGCTGGAACCAGACATTTTGAAAGAATCACTGAACAGTTAACCAATTATCAAAATAATCCGTCAACGAACAAATTGATTATTAGTTTCAGCTCTAATTCTCTGAGAAAGACCAACATAAAGAAGAATAAACCTATCTTTTATACACCTTTCATCAGAAGACGTTCTCCTCTGTGTGTTGTTTGTGTGTGACAGGTGGAGGTGGACAAGCAGGTGTTTCGGGGAACGGGTCCAAATAAGAAAGTAGCCAAAGCCAGCGCAGCGCTCGCCGCCCTGAACAGCCTGTTCTCCGGCTCCAAATCTACAAGCATCAAGAAGAAAAGACCCAACCCTCCTGTGAGTACATCACATGCTTCTCTGGTCAGCTTTAACACTAGAACCGCCAGAGGTCGCTGTATACGTAAAACCGCCAACGGGTCAAATTTACCCGCTATTGATTTTCAAGGTACAATGTTCTTTTATTTATCATGTAGAACAGTGAGTTTTGATCGCACAGGGATGAAATTTATACCAATATAATCTGTGGACTCTCAGCTTTTCATATGATATCGTTTCTGCAGATAGCATGAAGTATAAAATATCGCTACCAGTGCTGATTTAAACGCTTGGTATTAGACTTGTGTTTTGTTTAGGTACACATCTCTCTATCTATCTCTCTCTATCTATCTATCTATAACTATCTATCTGTCTATCTATCTATCTATCTATCTATCTCTCATCTCTCTCTCTCAATTTTTTTCAATCTGACTTCATATTGACCATTTTTAACAACAGAGGGTGCTACATAACACACTTTCAGGAAAAGTCACGGACTGGGAGACTTTAATATTTTATTGAAAAAAAGTTATACAATCAAAAAACAGCTGCGGGTAAAATTGACCCGTTGGCGGTTCTAGTATTAAATGAAACCACTTAATAATCAGTGCTCATGTGTATCTGCTGTGTGTGTGTGTAGCCAAAGAGACCCGTAACCTCGATGCTGACGCTCCCGGCCCTCGCTGCCAGACCTCCAATTGTCCCCGTCCTCCCCAGAGCCCCCTACATCAGCACACAACACACACATGGATACATCCCCCCGGGTGAGTTTTACATGGTTTACTAGACTAAGAAGAGAATCAGTTATATGTACAATATAATCATTGTAGCGTAAGTTTTCACAACAAATTAAATGTTCAATATTTTAATCATAATTATTCAACATAGATATTAAAAAGTTGAAGGTGGGTGAATTGTGTCACAGTTTTTAGTGTTCGAGGAATATTTAGATTTTTTTGGGAAATACACTAATTTGCTTTATAGATAAGAGGATAACAGTTTATGATTTCTTTTAATTCCATCATTTTTCCAGGAACTGTGGAAGAAAATAGCTTTTGTGGCAAATACAGTACGGCACATTTACATGATGGATTCAAGTGCTCATGTTATTTAAATAAATACTAATTCAAACACAACTGCTTTTATGTCTGTACAGTGAATACAAACATGCATGGTACTGTATGTGCAATAATTACACTGTGGTACGCTTTTTCTCTTTCTCCTCTCAGGTTTTGGGGCTCCTTATGGTTACAGCCCTGCAGGCGCCCTCCCTCACTACGGTAAACTCATTCACTGATCAATAATCCCTCCATTTGATTTTTTCCATCACTACATTTTAGTTCTTTTTTTGTTTTGCTTGGCTCTCCCTTAGGTTTTCCTTCCAGAGTTCCCTCAGTAGTTGTCCCAGTCATCAGAGTCCCCACAGCATACCCCATCACCCACCTCTACCCCTATTAGGACCCTCAATCACCTCTCCAACTTCAGAGGAAGTCACTGGTTAAAGTTAGATTCTGACATTTACTTTTTATGTTCAGGACACACACTTTAAACACCAACAGTGGATTACACAGACCTTTGACTAGTTGACCCAATCAGTACCACTGCATAGCATGTTCCCTTATTAGCAACCAACTCGATCAATTTGGCCTTCAGAAAGTTGGGCGGCCTGATTACAAAAATAAGCTCATCAAATCATTATACAACGACAACATGAGTTCAGTGTTATAAAGACTGGTAAGGTTTAGTATTGAACGTACTAAATGGACATTCACTAAAAGGATATACATATATATATTAGGGCTGTCAGTCGATTAAAATATTTAATCGCGATTAATCGCATGATTGTCCATAGTTAATCGCGATTAATCGCAAATTAATCGCACATTTTGTATCTGTTCTAAATGTACCTTAGAGGGATATCTTTCAAGTTTTTAATACTCTTATCAACATATGAGTGGACAAATATGCTTTATATGTTTGTTTATTATCATTTGAACAATGACAAATATTCTCATGAATATTAAACAGAACAACCTCTGAACATTACAAATATTCGCCTCAATTCAACCTGGAACCTCTCTCATACAATACTGTGTGTGTGTGTGTGTGTGTGTGTGTGTGTGTGTGTGTGTGTGTGTGTGTGTGTGTGTGTGTGTGTGTGTGTGTGTGTGTGTGTGTGTGTGTGTGTGTGTGTGTGTGTGTGTGTGTGTGTGTGTGTGTGTGGTGTGTGTGTGTGTGTGTGTGTGTGTGTGTGTGTGTGTGTGTGTGTGTGTGTGTGTGTGTGTGTGTGTGTGTGTGTGTGGGTGTGTGTGTGTGTGTGTGTGTGTGTGTGTGTGTGTGTGTGTGTGTGTGTGTGTGTTGTGTGTGTGTGTGTGTTCAAGGCATACATGCTCCAACGGGAGCTGCCTGGATGCTGCAATCATGTTGCGCGCACTATCCGTGCTGAGTGTGCTGACTTTTCGTACACTGTCTGGCTACCTGCATAAAGTCAAGTGCTCGGCGCAGTTGTCGGCGAAATGTCATTGAAACAGCTCCTTATATCCGTTAGCGCAGCTAGCTAGCACCAGATGCTAACAACAACAACACGTAAGGTGTGCCTCGCTCGCACGAGTCGCACCACACATACACACTCCCTCCCGGTCCTCCCGATGGCCAGTCCGGGCCTGCCAGTGAGCGTGGAAGTGTGGTCTGCCACAAGCGGGCGGTAGGAGCGGGGCTGTCAGCATCAGCTTGTCGATGGTATTTTAAACTCGATGCGCTCTGAAACTACGGCGGCCGAGGACAAAAAATACACATGCGTTAATCGCGTTAAAATAATTAGTGGCGTTAATTTTTTTTTGCGTTAACGCGTTATTAACGCGTTAACTTGACAGCCCTAATATATATGTGTAGTCCAGTTCTGGGAAACGAGCATCCACTTTAACAAACTGAATTACTAGCCTCTCTATAGGTATCTATAATAACACCAACTACCAGTAATCAACATAGGAAACGTAAATATCCATTGTTATGAACTTAAAAAAACACTTACCATAGAATACTGCAAAATACAATACTGTATACAGTATCAGGAAAGAAGTAAATTAACTGTAAAGAGGTAAACCAAAATGTGTGGGAAACTTAAAAAATAAGGTTACTTACTATACACTAACTATTAAGTATCTACAGTATGGATCTAAACTGTCACCGTAAGGAAGTAAACAAAACGACACCTAACAAGACAGACTTCAATATATATAGGCCTCCAATGGTGCATATCAGGGAACTAAGCTGCAAAGGGGAAAGCATTTTCTGTGGGGAACTAAACAAATAGAGCACTAACAAAACACTTACTGTTAAGTATCCAGGTAATTGTTAGGAAGTAAACAACTATAAAAACCTACAACATTTACAGTGCTGTATATCAGGGAACTAAATATATAAACTGCAATGAGCTGAATAATTTTTTGGGGGGAACTAAAGAAATTAGGCTACCAACTTAACACTTTCTATTAAGTATCTACAGTATGGAACTAAACAGTCACTGTAAGGAATGAAAACATTAGCCACTTTCACACCAAGTACTTAGCTGGTACTTGTCCCCAGTACTTGTTCCCCCCAAACTCTTTAGTCCCTGGAACCAGAGATGGAGTACTCGAGTCCTGGACTTGGACTCGAGTGCCGATTTTCGGGACTCGTGACTCGACTCGGACTCGCTCATTGATTGACGCGACTCGGACTTGGACTCGTCAATTCTCGCGCACGATGACTTGGACTCGGACTCGTAAATTCTCGCTTACAATGACTTGGACTCGGACTCGTGAATGTTTCCCCTCCACGATGACTCGGACTCGGACTCGTACATTGACGCTCCGACTTGGACTCGGACTCGAGCAAGTTTTCTCTGGAGTCTGATGTCCTCTATCCCTGCGTGTGCACCTGCGAGGCGAGTTCACGTACTGGGCCCCGCTATTCCAGTCTAAAGATGTCTAGAGACACACCCCGCATCGTGCTGTATGCTTTCACACATTCTGCTTCCACATTGGAAAAGAGCAGCGCAAAATGCTCGTTATGTGGAAAAATTATTGAAGAGAAGAGAAGGCTCCATAACACATTACTCTAAGGATCGAGTTCAGACATTTTGGCTGTCTTGAACACTATCATCAGAGTAACGTGATCTAATCAATAAATAAAGATTCAGCCGATAACACGAAAGCACATGGCTACTTAACATACAGAATGACGTCATTTTGCATGCTAAGTAGCCATGTGCTTTCTGGGGCTCAATCTTTATCGGTAAACCGATTTAACCTGTAAAATTCCTTCAAAATAAGAGTCCCGATCTTATTACTATCAAAATAAAAGTGCAAAACGAAAACGTTACCATAGGAAAATATTGGATTACAAATATAATCACTTCTCTAAAAGGTAACTAATTTTAAATATAGTTAGACATATTATGGGTCATTTACAATAATAATAATAATTTTAATATTAGTAATAAGCTTTATATTTGTATAGCACCTATTACAAGAATTGTAGCCAAACTGGCTTCACAGCAGTTCAATAGACAGATTAGTATAACATGACAGCATAAAAGCAATGTAGAGGAGCAGCTACATTTCAACACATATATCCACGAAGATTAATACATGAAGACTTGTGACTCAGACTTGACTTGGACTCTTCTTAGGTGACTCGGACTTGGACTCGGACTCGAACACAGGTAATGGTGACTCGGACTCGGACTCGACTCGGACACTCCTTGGGTGACTCGGACTTGGACTCGGACTCGAACACAGGTAATGATGACTCGGACTCGGACTCGACTCGGACACTCCTTGGGTGACTCGGACTTGGACTCGGACTCGACTACGACTCTCCCTTGGTGACTCGGACTTGGACTCGGACTCGAAGGGTGGTGACTCGAGAGTGACTTGGACTCGTGAATTGGTGACTTGACTACAACACTGCCTGGAACTGTCCTAGTAGATTGCATTCTCACCGGAATAAGGTGCCGTTTACACAAGGACAAAACGGGTTGTATCTGCTACTTTTCTCTCGTGTATAGCTCGTTCGTTCACACGAGGTCGACGCGTAAACGCGGAAACGGACCCCACAAACGATAACGGGTCCCAAGGTGGATAGATCTGGAAACGGAACGCTCTGGGGGGCCAAACGGCTCAGTGTGTACGCCTCTATACGATCATTTTCTGATAATGATAAAATAGCCCCGCCTCCCTCTCACCACGTCTCCTGCTCAGAGATGTCTGAAGAGGGGGAGGAAAAGAGGGGCTCCGTTTATTATTCTTATATAATTATATAGAGTTGTTATCAATTTGTTTTAAAGCTCAATAAATAACAAAGAAGACCTCTGACCGGCACTTTTCTAATTTTGGCCGGAAGATTTAAACTTTAACGGACATGTTGACCGCGAAAAAAAATGTTAACGGAAACTCTGCCGCATGGTCCCCTCGTCCCTTGGAAGAGGCGGAGAGGTGGGTGTTTTTCATCTGCTGGTGGACTACCGGAGAGATTTACAGCAGGAGCACACGCCGTCCACCGCGGAGAATAAACAGAAGGGCAACCATGGCAACCATGCTCCGGGGTCTTCTTCGCTGCTTTTGGTGTATTTTGTTGCGGCAGCAGCGCCACTTACAGGCCCGGCATATGTACTACAGCGTTTCCAGCGGGTCGAGCGGTCTCGTGTGAACGGACACGTTAATTGAGCCGAATGCGTGTGAACGGAAGACTTTTTTGAAAAAGAATTTGGTGAAACGTACCTGTTTCGTCCTCGTGTAAATGGGGCCTAAGTCCCTGAGGGAGGATTAGGCAAATTAAGCCGCATTTATCTGTGACTTTCTATTTGTGTGTGAGGGGGGGGTCAGTGGATCAGAGTGGCAGGTAACGCTCGCTGCGGCGTTTTACGGGACGTGGTTTGCAATTCGCCCAGCCAATCAGAAATTGTTAGTGTGGCCGACACACCCACGAACCATTTCCTCCAGAGGAAAGTACCACCTCTCTAGCAGGGACTATCTGGAGGTGAAAAGGTTCGCGCGAACTAGGGACTAGTTCCAGATCTTTTTGGTGTGAAACCAAATCTCCCCCCCTATCGGCCTAGTTCGGGGGGAAAAGTACTCCGGTGTGAAAGCACCTATTGCTAATATTAGTAGGGAACTAACTCATTACTGCAATAACACTGTGGGATGCTGTGGCTCAGTGACTTGGTGTGCTGATCTCTGGATCAGGGGAGCACTGGTTCAATCCCCACTGCAGTCAGCATGTCGTTGTGTCCTTGGGCAAGACACTTCACCCACAATTGCTGTAAGTCGCTTTGGGTAAAAGCGTCTAACAAGTGAGGTGTAATGTAACAGATTCAAACCTAAAGGGAATTTAACATATTGTAGTTACTACTAAATGTACAGTAAAGACAATATACAATAATACAATTGGCTGTAGAGAACTTACGAAACAGACACTGTAAGGAAGTAATTAATACTAAATACACATGTAAAAAAATGTATACTATGAAATGAATTTGATCAGAGATCTTTTTGTCAAAAGGTTCAATTATTCCTTCAACCTCACCTCATGGATGTGAATGTTGTTTGTATTTTATTTATCTCTGTTTTCTTATGATTTAAAAAGGTTCCTGTTGAGATCAAAATAAAAAAATATGAATGACAATTGGTTTGCACTGAGAATATTTTTCTTTTGTTTGGATGGTGAAAGTCCAGGTTTACATTTGCTGTTGTTTTTGAGCGATTGAGCAATTTTGTGTTCAGTGAAAATACTTTATTTTCAAGAAGATTTTAATTCTGACCTGTTTGTAGGTTATATTCTGTTGAAATAAATGAATAATTTTGTCTATAGCTGAATAACTTGTACTTTGTAAAGCTTTCAAAACCCAGTCGCTGGTTCATTTATCAATTGTGACTTTTCCGTGATGTGGCCATGAACCCAAGTACAAAGTTACAATCCCTCAGCTAGCATTTTGCTGTCCCCTCTTTCCCAAACACCAATTGTCCAATCATATTTTAGCAACTGGAAAAAACTGGTTTATCAAGCTTTGTTTTTATCCACGTTGAAGCATTTGGCATGGAGCTGTAATACAACAGAATTGTAATGGTGACATAGAGTGGTGCAGTGATGAAGTATTTCTGTTGGCAGACCTCGAAGTTAGCATTGCACGGTCTCCCTTGACAAAAAGCAATGGGATTTTCTAAGTATATTGCAGAAAATAACATGTTCATGATACTTACACATTTTATTCAGCATGATTATCTCCACAAATGCAAACCGCTTTTGACATTAAAAGCATAAATGCTATCGCCACAAGTTAAAAGCTTACGTAATGCTCTAAATGAACTACATCACCACCACTAAGCTAAAGGGGGACTTGTGTCGGCATGATGAAGTTTACTATTGTATATTACTTGTTAACCACTGCTGTTATTATGACACTTAGAAGCTTCGGACATTCACAAGTAGGTTAACTGCACATGTATGTTATGTTAAAGAACAAAATGTGAAAATCTCTTCAGCTCGTGTTAACCACAGGCCTTATTTCAGGCCTCTAAAGAAAAACACTTTAAAAAAAAAATTGACTTGGAGACGAGGGAATATGTCATGCTAACTCATTCTGGATTTTTGGGTTCGTTCCTGCACCACTTTTTAACAAAACTTGTTAGTAGACTTCAGCTTTTTACAAGCTTGTCTTCATTGACTTTATAACAGAAAAACCCATGTAGCTAATGTTAGCTGATAGCTAGCTAGCTACAGCTCATTAAATCTGCCAGTGATACGCTTTGATTCAGTCGTAATAAGTCTGTTTCGTTTTTTTAAATAAAGCCTAATTTTTTATGAGAATAACTATCATCTTTAATTTCCAAACCTGCGATTTTTATCCTGGTAAAACTACATAATGTACCATGCATAAACTGGAAGCTTGACAGGCGTAGCATTTTTTACTTAGCAGGCAGATAGAAATGATGGTCCGAACTTTCAAAATAAAAGCCAAGATGTAATGTCTCTGAATTGTATTTTAAGTAAAAGCTGCACCCGGCTGTTTCACAAAAGTAGCCGTTTGTTATAACTGGCAAACACCCAGAAAACACCTGTGCTAGAGACGCTTGTAGAGAAAAATTGTAATGCTGATATAAAAAAATGTGATAGGATGCACTGAATCTCCTGAGCACTAAGAATGTCTGGGAGATACTTTCTAAAAGCAGCTACAAAAAGTATGTATTCTGCTTTGAATGTGCAACCTTGTCTCTGATCACATGTTTAAAGCATTCCCCATTCCTTCTAATCACCTCAGCGTTCAGGACAAAGAGGATACATTAAGTGCTGATGATTACTTCTGTTAACCCGGTTGCTCGTGTCTCCTGTCTGTAGGTGGCCTGTACATCGACAGTGCCTATTACCAGCCGCAGACCATCGCCACACCTATCATCATCCACCTGGGCCCTCAGGATCTTTTCTGACCCGACCCACGCACCGAGGCCAGACTCTGCCCCCCGTTTAACCCCTCGCCCTTTTTAAACTCTGCCAGCGCCTCTCAATTACTGCAGCGCCGCTCCCTCGGGACTCTCCTTCCACACAAGACGCGGCAGCAATATTGAAAGCAATATGGAGGAGACAACACTGCGGGCAACACTCTGTCAAGTCAAGGGCGGGTTTTAGTGAAGAGGCGAGACTTTGTTCGCCAGCTCTCAGAAAATGTCAATGAAACACAAAGCAATAATTCTCCTGCCTTTGGGTATCTCAACATGTTCAAAAGCAACTTCAGCAGAATTCAAACAGACCATCAACACCGGCACATTTACCACAATGTGACCTGTATGTCAATATATTTACTATCTGTATATATGAATGTTTGTGAGTTTTGAATATATATATAAACATGTTAATATGTAAAACCCGCTGACAGGTAAAGAAACGTATTCATAATATATCTCTGAATGTAAATACTAGTAGCTTTGTATTTAAAGCACTCAGCAATGCTATCTATGAATATTAAGATTTAAATTAATTTGACAAACTCTATTACACTATTGGTATGCTGGTATATATTCCCTATTTAAACATGATAACATATAGTATACAAAGTATTGATTTTCCCTGAGATAAATGTAACATACTATTTGACATTACAAGGTTTTAATTATTTATTTTCCCAAAAATAATCTCTCAAATTGAAGCTTTGTCACCAGTCGTAAAGTCCACTTATGTCACTGTTGGGTTTAAATCAATGGTTACCAACCCGAGGGCATGGGCCCCCTCAAAAGCACACAGGACAAATATTAGAGGTCACAAGATGATTAAAGGAAGAGGAAAACAAATATTTCTACATAACGTTGTTAGTAACAGACTTTTCTTGGTTTTAAAGGCTCTCAGACAGAATCATATCTATAACTAACAACCAACACCCAGGGCCGCCCCACGCAAAGTTATGTGATGAGGCCCTCTGTGTCGTGAGCGTCGACGGGAGGGGGGGTGGATGCGAGGTGAGGCCCCACGCAGTCTGCGTGATCTGCGTGTAGGGAGGGGCGGGCCTGCCAACACCTACAGTATTTTACAACTAGATGAGCAGGAGTGCAGCTTTGGAATTTGTTAATCACTTTGATAACTTTTTGCTATGTAAAGATGGAGAGTTATATCGATCTGAGCAATCTTTTACTTTACGCTGGTTAGCTTTTTGCTTAATTTGTTAGCATTAAAGAACTACATCTCCCATGGTGCTTGAGGGCAGATATTGCTGCAGTTGAATGGTGAGAAAATAGAGTGTGCAGTGATGATGTATTTTTGTAGGCCGACCCGCAAGTTAGCATCGCTAGGGCCCCCTCGACAAAAACCAATGGGATTTTTACATTGGATTTCGGTATATCGCTGAAAAAAAAGCTCTGTGGCAAACATAAATGTATGATACTCATCACGCGTTGTTTGGCAGGATAATCTACACATATTTACACCTAATGATTTTTTTGAACGGTAAATGCAATCGCTAGAAGTCAAAAGCTAACGCTTTAAACAAACAACATCACAGTCGTATGACGGCAAGTCACCACCGCTATCTAAAGGCGGAATCGTGTCGGTGTGATTACGTTTAGTGGTCTCTTTAAGTCACTGGTTAGCATCTGCCAATTTTAGCACATATAGAAGCTTTGTACATTCATGAGTGGAGTATTTACTGAAGTATTTTATGTTATAGAACCGAACCTGAAAATCTCTTTAGCTTGTGTTATCCACAGACCTCATTTCAGGCATCTACCGAAAAAGCACCTTTAAAAAAAAAAACATTGACTTCAAGATGAGAGAACTGTAAGTGGTAAAAGGCTGGCTCATTTCAGGGTTGTTCTAGGACTGGTTCCGACACAACTCTATAACATCGCTACCCTAGTTGACTATAGCTCAGATGTCAACAAGTGTTGCTAAGAGTTACCTGATGCTAAGTGCATACAAAACCTGACATTTTGCTAAATAGTTTAGAAGATACACTTCCCGTTTGGGAATATGTAACCCTTCTTCAAGAGAATGTTTCAAAATGACTCTAAAGCAGGCTACAACAGTGCTAACCATTAGCACCTCACTGTCCACCAAACCTCTTAAAACTGAGGAATAATATTTGATTTAAGAGTCTAATGAAATGACCTGCTAATATTTAGTTTTTGCATTATTCCTCACTGCAGCCTGACTGAAAGCACAAGTGTTTAAAGCAATACTTCACTCAGGAACCTTCAAACTAAATCTGATCATGTGAAACAAACAAACAACAGAGAGTACGGCAAACTCCTCAGTACTGTAGACGAGACAATGCTCAAACAGAATGTAAATGCCACCGTGGATGTTACAAACACCTGATTTAATAATATTGTACTGAATGTCTCTGGGAGAATGTAAAACCACACTTTACTTATGCTGCAGAACATTTTACAAGAATCAAAGTCATAAGAGGATAGTGTTGTTTTTTTTCCTTTTCTTTAAAGTGGACCTATCATGCTATATTTGAATATAGTGAATATATTGTAGGGCCATACCTATATAAAACATGTCTGTGAAGTTTTTTTTTTCAAAATACCAAAAAGATCATGCATTTTAGCCATGCCTCATTTCGCTCTATTTGCTCTTTTCCAGCCCTGTTTTTGCAAGGGCTGATTCTGTGAGAAGTCTTCTTCGCTGCTTTTGTGGCAGACTACAGCGCCACTTACAGGCCTGGCATATGTACTAAAGCGTCTCCAGCGCTTTCGAGCGGCAATGGCCGGCCGTGGCCCAACCCCACATTCCCCTGATAGGTGGAGAGTTGCCCATATAGGCGGAGCTCCCCTTTTCTGACGCCAGAACAATTTCAAATCTGTATCAGCTCCGTTGCAGCCCCGTTTTTAGAGATTTGGGTATGGAGGAAAAGAGAGAGGGTTGTGTTTTCTGACACTTGGTGAGTTCCCTGACACACCGGGGACACATATTCATGTATAAAAGACGTACAAAAGTGCATTTTGCATGATAGGTCCCCTTTAAATAATTATTCAGTTGGATTCGTAGGACCAAATGTTTAAAACATGCTTGACATTTTTATTCTAGGAAAATTGGCCAAACCAGATAATAATGTAATTTTATGTCACAATTATAAATGTTTTTAGGGGGAATAACCAAATCCAGTGAATCCAGTGCAGATTCCCGATGAATTGACATATCCTTTGTAAAGATGTTGGTTCTTGTCTCACTCAGTAGTTTTGTCGTGTCTGAACTTCCATACTCTGCACAGCTCCAGCAGTTTTCTCTGGGATTATGTGTGAAATCAAAGAGGCTTTTCTGATTTGTAACAGTCGTGCGAAACCTGGAAATTAAAAAGAATGTGTAACAAGAAAAGACGAGGCATGAAAGAATTTGGAGTTTGGTGTGTGTTCCTGACCCCTTCTACTTCATCAGTTTTTTTTTCTTTCAGTCACACTTGGCTGCCGCGGAGCTAATTACATCTGAGGGAACAGAGAGAGTGAAAGAAACGTCGGATTACACACAGAGAATCAAATAAAGGCCCAAAACAAGACATTTAAACCAGCTGCTTGAATGAAAAGATGAAGAACTTAATGAGTAAAACTGTGTGTAACTCTACAGGAAGCTTATTTGGTCTCCAGTATCCCACTGATGTCAGCCAATTCTCACCTCAGTGCTACACCACATGAATCCCGTACGAACATTACGACACAGGAGACTGACAACACACATTTAAATGTGTCACTGGTTTAAAAATACTTCCACTTATTGTCCTGGTAACATCCAGTTGTTGCCAGAGGCATAGCACAGCAGAGGCAGATAAAAACGGCCATCAGTCAAAGTGTTAATGTTTTTACCTGTCGGTATGTGACTGGAATATCTATTTAGATCTATTAAATAACTTACTAAGGGGCCCAATTATGCTGATTTTCAGGTTCATTTACTGTCTCTACTGTAACATGTCTCCATGCTTTAATGTTCAAAAAGCTCTTTATTTTTCTCATACTGCCTGTGCTGCAGCACCTCTTTTCACCCTCTGTCTGAAACCAGAGCCCAGTCTGCTCTGATTGGTTAGCTGACCGGCACTGTTGTGATTGGTCAACTGGTTAGAGATGTCCTGCCCCTTAACCCTGTTATTTCTACCACTGTGCCGTGACAAACCAGTGTGCCGTGAGAGATCGTCAGGTGTGCCGTGAGAAATTGTAAAATGTCACTTAATCGCTCCAAAAATATTATTTAGTTGCTGCAAATAAAATCCAACACTACCATTCACTTCAAAACAAGAGTACGGACTATTTTGTTTGCCTGCATTGACAAATTGAGAAACGGGTAATTTTATTGAGAAAAATACATAGAGAGAGATCTCAAAGCTAGCTACTTCGGCGCTGAACTCCTAGCGGAATTGAGACTTGTCAGCTAACTTCTTTAGACTGAGCCTCTGTCTGTCAAACTGTCAATGACTGTTTCTGGTGAGTGGTAACCTGTCATTATTTAACAAGCCATGCCTTACTTTCATTACAATTTTTTCTTTTCTTTCATTGAGTTCAAATATTGAGTTGAGAAACTAGCAATATTAGTTTTTAGCCAGATCATCCATTAGCCTTAGTAGGCCTTTGATGAGTCTTATCCTCCATAAGTTTATGGTGTTGAATTTCAGACTGACACAAATCAGCGCTTTCCCAGATTTGTGAACAGAATGTAATAAATGCTGCTCAGACCTCAGCAAGCCTGCAGACTTGAACCATCATGATCCTTCAGCCAAAATAAAAACTCTTGCAGAGAATATTGTTTGTTCCAACTGCTTTTATTTCTAGCAATGAAATCATGGATGTTTAGTGTTCGGTGAGGCAGAAGCCTGAATGCAGATGGCGTGGATGTCGGTATCAGATGGAGGTTTAGATCCTGCTGGTATTTTCAGCGGTGAGAAAGAAGCCAGAAGGTGTTGGATTACGCAACGTGGGTACATGCAGCCCTCACTGATGGCAGGCTGTCATCTTACTTTGGCGCTCAGGACCATGATGCACTGCAGCGCAAATACATTCTTTTCACCCTCGAAACACCTCTGACATCAGTTCGAAGGATAAAGGACGATCACACTGTATATATGTATATTTGTCATGATGCGACTTCTTGCTATTATATGACAAATCATTATTAGTAGCATTAGTTACTGTATCATGGTAAGTATCATATCACCTCATTATTGCCAATACACAGCAGTACCCAGTAGAACTGACCAATCACGTGTGAGAAGGCTTTGCAGCAGTCCTTGTGGAGAGTGAATGAAGTGGAGGGCATTGTTAGGAATCCAATTTAAGAGCTTATTTGCTATAGTCTGACAACCATTTAGTTCTTTATTCACTAACATGTAAACTCAAACACTGTTCAGTTCATGAACATAGTGACATCACAATGTAACACTTTTGTTCTATGCTAGCGCTCCAACACATTGTACGTGATAGGTTAAGGGGCGGGACATTTCTAAGTGGTTGACCAATCACAACAAAGCCGGCCAGCTAATCAATCGGAGCAGACTGGGCTCTGGTTTCAGACAGAGGGTGAAAAGAGGTGCTGCAGCACAGGCAGTATGAGAAAATAAAGAGCTTTTTGAACATTAAAGCATCTTAACACGTCACAGTAGAGGCACATAATACTGTACTAATATGAACCTGAAAATCAGAATAGTAGGGCCCCTTTAAGGGCCTAAAAATATCAGGATTCACTGGTCCTTCTTACCATCTGAGCTTCAACAAATCCACAGACAAAAGCTCTGAACATGTTTGAATGTTAGACCACAGCCTCCTCTGCTGGCGGAGTGTCCTTTGCTCGCTCAGTGCACAACCTCACTAATGGGTAGAGTTGCAGATATCCAGCTCATTATGTCAGTATTGTGTAACAGCATCAGTCCTGGGGTGC